GACTTCATTTTATCAGGTAGTTAAACGTTTTCCTTTCTGTATCACTGAAATTCGCTTATTGCTTTTCAATATTTATCTTTATCTCTGGTACTATGACCTGAAATGCGATCCACTTCAATTGTTTCCTGGTGTTTATGAATAACGTTGCGATGTTTCTCTCATTTGTCTGTTTGATTTATTTATTCTTGATCCATTTTTATTCCACAGTAATCTCGGAAATTAATGACTACTGCTTGCAGAGGACGCAATATCGGGAGAAGGCTGATGAAGTTTGCTAATTTTTTTTATGGTTTTCGTTCAGTTGGCCGGTTAATTAAGATAAGATTCTACATCGTAGAGTACTTGTTTGGTCAATGACCGACTTATTGATAGAGTGTCTACGGGAGATGCCCGGTAGTAAGATTCGGCGGCTAATTCCGGATCCTAATCTACCACGACCGAAGATGAAGATCTTCTCTTCTGTAACGAAATGGTGAGAGAGCTATCCGTATTTTGAGGTAGTTGTTAAGCAGTATGATTTGGTGAGGCTAAGGCTAAGCTGCAGGCTACCAGCGGGGTCACAGGTGGCGGATAGTGGATGGCCTTCAGATATGAAGGTTAGTTGCGAATATACTGAATAAGCAATCCCCGACCAAGCAGCGCCGATACTGGAGGGTGTAGTGGGTATGCCTGAGAAAAGCATACCTTAAAAAATGCTAAGCATAGCCTAGTTCCCCTTTCCTGGAAACGGAAGCAGCGTTTTCAGTATTAAGTTGTGGCATATAGGAATGGATCCTGGACCGGCTCATCATTGGACACTAGGAGACATGACTGAAGCAGTTTTAATGGTTCCTACACTGTAATTAAGTGCTATGTTTTCTTCACCTTGCTCTATGGTGTTGAAGCCTGGACAATGACAGAAGCAACACAAAAAAGAATCCAAGCATTCGAAATCTGGTGTTATCGTAAAATGCTCAGAATATCCTACATGAGCCATACGACAAATGCGGAAGTCTTGCGGAGGATGAATAAGGAAAGAGAGCTTATGCTTATAATAAAAGAACGGAAAACACAATATTTTGGTCCCATCATAAGAAATCAGAAGTATGAACTGCTCCAACTTATAATCGAAGGCAAAGTCAATAGCAAAAGAGGACCAGGAAGAAGACGCAACTCCTGGCTTAAAAACCTACGGCAATGGACAAACATGACCTCCATAGAACTATTCAGGGCTGCTTCAAATAAGATTAAATGGGCAAATGTAATGGCCAACGTCCTTAAGGATAAGGCACCGTAAGAAGAAGACACTGTAATGAGGAAAGCAAGGGGAAACTACCTCATTAAACATCCCTAGTCTCTTAGCATGGCAAATATCAGTATTAATACGTCACAGTTTACTAAACATGGTTCTCGGATACCAAGGTCCGGCAGGGGGAGATATAACAAGGATAACAGGGCTCCCCAGGTCGTCAACCAGAGAAACCTTTTTTTTTTAAACTCAAACAGATCAACAATTACGATCGCTACGTGGAATGTGAGAACAATGTACGAGGAGGGCAAGACATACAATGCCATTAAGGAAATGGATAGACTTGCTATCGATATAATGGGTGTAAGTAAAATGCGCTGGACTGGATCTTGACAGTGCACAATACATAACCACTAGATTTATTACTCCAGAAATAGCGAAGACCTACATATTAACGGAGTTGGTATTATAATGAATAAGAACATCTCTACATCACTTATTCAGTTAAATACTCTTTATTCAGTTTCTCTGTTAAGACCAACATAATCCAGGTGTATGCACCTACTGCAGACAAATCAGACGAAGAGATCGAAACTTTCTATTCGGAACTAATGAGTGTTCTGAAAAAACTTCACAAAATCGAAATAAAAATGCTTATTGGATACTTAAATGCCAAAGTGGGAAAGGGTAGATGTGGAGAAACCGTAGATCCTTTGGACTGGGGAAACGAAACGAACGCGGAGATCGCCTGATCACCTCCGCTGTGGAAGAACAACTGGTAATCACCAACACTTTCTTTAAACTACCAGCTAGGAGATTATATACTTAGAGATCACCTCAAGGCACCCCAGATCACATTATCAGAAACCAAATTGACTACATTATGGTGAATAAAAGATTCAGAAACTCAATCAACAACAACATCAGCCAAAACATATCCTAGTGCTGATATCGGGTCGGACCATAATCCACTGGTAGTTAACATCAGACTAAAGCTGAAGAAGATAGAGAGAGCAAAAGCAAGAAAACACGATACAGGACCATTAAAAATGAAGACACCAGGCACCAGATATAAACCTATATAGAAAAAGACTTCAAAAATACAGACAAAACTAATAAACCAGATAACAAAATGGCAAAACAATTTAACCAGACAATCCTATACAATCCAGACAACAACGGTTAAAAAGAAAGAATGGATTACTGATAAAATCTTAAATATGATAGAGAATAGAGGAAGAGCTGAAAACAGAGACATGTGGAAGTATAAACGAATTGACAAAGAAATAAAAAGAACTATCAGAGAAACCAAAAACAAACGGTTGGAAGATCAATGCAGAGAAATAGAATCATTGGAAAGTAGACACGACTCGTTTAATCTCTACAAGAAGATAAAAGAAGCAGCAGGAATGTACAAACCCAAGAGATCAGGACATATGACTGATGGTCATGGCTACCCGGTAATAGATATTAAACAAACAAAGAATATATGGAGGATATACGTTAAGAAGACATTCGATGACGACAGAGATAACAACCAGCTAATTATGGAATACGACACAGGACCACCAATCAGTCAAGACAAAATCAAAGCCGCAATTAAAGCACCCAAAGAAGGTAAAGCATCAGGGCCCGACAACTTTCTTTCACAATTTCTTAAAATCATGGGAGACGAAGGAGTAAAATAGCTTACGACAACGTTCAATAAAATCTATGACTCGGGAAAAATCCCAGAGAGCTAGTTAAAATCTTCATTTATTGCTATACTTAAAAAACCTAATGCAAAAAAATGCGAAGAGCATCGTATTATCAGTCTAATGAGCCACATTCTTAAGACCTTCTTAAAGATAATACACAGAAGAATTTGTCAGAAATGCGAGTCACAGATCTCACGAAGGCAGTTTGGATTCAGGAATGCGTAGGTACAAGAGAAGCCTTGTTCGCGGTTCAAGTATTATTTCAAAAGTGCAGAGACGTCAACTGCGATATTTATGTATGCTTTATCGACTACCAGAAAGCTTTTGACAGAATAAGGCACGATAAGCTCATGAATATACTAAAGGCAACTGATCTGTATAACAAAGACCTTTGAGTAATCAAGAACGTATACTACAACCATTCGGGTGAAAGACCAACAAACAGAGGAAGTTGCAATAAAGACAGGAGTGCGACAGGGCTGCATACTCTCTCCCCTATTATTTAACGTCTTCTCGGAACACGTCATGAGCCAGGCCTTAGAGCATATCGAAGAGGATATTCTCATAAATGGTGAGCGCCTGAATAACATCAGATATGCAGACGACACCATCCTCTTTCAGTTTAGAAAGTGTACAGACACTAGTAACGCAGTTGTGGAGAAATCGGTCAGGAGTACGGGCTTGATTATAACATCAAGAAAACAAAGTACATGGTCATCAGTAAGAAGCATATTCCACCTAGTCAATTCCTGGTAGATCAGCAACAGATACTCCAAGTAACCCGTTACTACTATTTACGAACCACCATAAACGAACAATGGGACCACTCAGTTGAGATAAAACAAAGAATTGAAAAAGCCAGGTCAGCGTTTGTCAGAATGAGCAAGATATTTAGGAGCCACGAATTACCCTTAAAAACAAAAATCCGTTTATTGAGATGCTACGTGTTTACAGTGCTGCTCTATGTGGTTAAATCATGGACACTAACCGAGGCATCCATGGGAAAACTCGAGACGTTTAAGATGTGGTGTTATAGACGGATACTGAGGATCTCCTGGATGGACCGAATAACAAACATTGAGGTTCTACGTCAGATGGATAAAACATGTGAAATTATATCCACAGTGAAACAGTGCAAGCTAGAATATCTTGGACATATAATGCGAAACGACCATAGATATAACCTGCTGCAACTTATATTACAGGGAAAGGTCTAAGGGAAACAGAGGACCAGGAAGAAGAAGAAGAATATCTTGGCTCCAGAACTTACGAAAATGGTTTTCCTTGACCACTTCAGGATTATTTCGAGCTGTGGTCAATAAAGTTAGAATTGTAATGCTAGTAGCCAACATCCGTAACGGATAGGCATCACAAGAAGAAGATGATCCGGTGCTCATCTTCAAAATCCAGTTTTGCCTAACACTTCACTAAGAGAACTTTAGCTTATCTGCCATGTCCGCCTTACAATATCTACTACTAAAACGAACCTGAGCCTTCCAATGTGAATGTTCACCCGATCCTTGGAGGATTACTTTTGAAGATTTAAACTAACAAGAATCGACAGAAAAAAAATTAGAATATATAGACAAACAGCGTCTGAAAAAAGAACATTAGCATATATAATAGAATAGATTGAAGTGGTCTGATTTATGTAAGCAAAACCAGTGACGGAAGACAACAAGCATACAATAATCATATTAAAGAAGTGGAATGGCGTCAAGACACATTTTGAATTTGTGTGTAACCATAGGATATCAACATTCTTGCCTTCTGTCAACACTTCTCGTTTTATGGTACAAACTAACTATAATATTAACTTTTTTTAACTCTTTGAAGTCGTATGATTAAATAAGTGCTCAGTATTTAAAAGAAATTTGTTTTTTCTCAATCATATTGAAAAATTGCAGCTCCACCAAAAAAATCTTATTAACCGATAAATTTTTTTTTAATAACTTACGTTTCTTAAAATATGGAAAAAATAGTGCATTAGACACCACAAAAAATTTATGTCAGTAAAAAAAGTCAAAAAAAGTATAAGTTATGACTAATTCTTGATTACTAATTATTATTTTTAGAGTAACATCAACTTAGAACCGTTAGATAAAAATGATAAGACACCCCTAATGCTTGCTCAAAGTCATAGACACAATGATATAGTAGAACTTTTACACACCGAAAAGAAACGCCGTTCCAGTTGGTTCCCTCCATTAAATGAAGTATGGGGTTTACTTTTTGGCAAAGCTGGCAATTCGAAAGCACCTTTAATATTTTTTATGAGCTCAGTTTTGCTATGGGGATATCCAATGTATATAATTAGGGTACGTATAAAACACGTTTCTTTTGTCTCTTGTTATTTGTCTGCCAAATGTATAATAATTTACTGTTGCTGGAAATAGTTTACAATCGGACATAGATGCAACCAATATTTAAATGCAGTTAATATTCTTCTTCTTCTTGTAGTTCCTTCTCCTATCGGAGATTGGCGGCTGCTCCAAATTAATTATAATTTACATTATCTAATAAATATTCACATGTAGTTTATTAATAAAATAACACTAACACAATTAAAAAAAAGTTTATTTTTAAAATTTTTTTGAATAATCGTTTACGTATAACTAATCTGCTACGTTAGTGTCCTAGATATTCCCAATGATATTCACATGATAATCTAATAAATTAATCTTGTACACTTCACTGTTATGCCTAGTAGGCTCACATTTATACATTTATCACTATCACACATGTTTGAATGGTTTAAGTTTCACTCACTTTCCTGTTTATATAGTTATTGAGTCGTTTTCGTGATCCTTGGCAATCTTGCCAAGGATCATGTAAGCTTCATGCTGCCAAGCACCTTGTTTTGGAATCTCTGTAAAATGTTTATATTGGAGACACTGACGTTGCCCGATAACTGGACATCGTAGATCCAAATAAGCTTAAGGATGTAGTTATATAATAAAACATTGTTATCCAATTAAGTTATATATAAGGACAATTTTGATTTGTGGACAGTAAGCCAATACATATTACTTGATTTACGTTCAAGATGTTGCTAATGTAGTTGTTTTTGTTGTTGGAATATCTGCTGTATACAAGAGATACTGTTGGGATATTGTTAAGCGAAGAACGTTGGCTTATGGGACGCTTGAATATATAGGATATATTTTAGTGTACTCGGTTCTTTGTTTTACCAGGAAGTGTCTGTTTTCCAGATAAGATTTCAAGAACTGGAATGAGTATAGGCTAACAGCTTCTTTAATTTTATTTGTAGTCATGTATGCCAAACCTTATCGAATGTCGGGGATATGTTAATGAAAGCTGGTTAATAATAATTTTTGGTGTTTATCTTTATTATTTTGTTAACCAGTCAATGCACTTGATATATATATATATATATATATATATATATATATATATATATATATATATATATATACACTATAAATAGATCAATGATGGTCACGGAAGCCAAATTAATCATCTGGAATTATTTTATCCCGTCAATTTTAGACTTTTCACGTACACCTTCTCAAAGAGTTTGCTAAGCATTTATGGAAGACTTATAGGCCGGTAGGAAGATACATTTTCTGGCTTTTTCGAGGATTATTGAGAAATATGCCTCGTTTCAGGTGCTAAGGTGCTAGTTTAAAAGCAGAATTGTATTGAATATAAAAGGTACTTGTTTTATGTACTTACTCGTGACTTTCTTAAGAATATTGCCGGAGATTAAGTCAAAAGCAGAAGCTTTTTATGATGATTTCTTGCATTATTGTTTGTTTTACTTGGTTTTCAGTATATGTATTTTATGTGAGGTAGGTCCATTTGAAACGTTGCTGTTAGGAATTTGGTTAATTTTATTTCTTCCTCTGTGCAGAGTGTAGAAGTGACATTTGGATTTTTGTAAAAATAGTTAGGTGATAACAATATTAAAATAATTAAAATATACCCAAAACGGTGATTTCTTTTATACTTTCCTTGATTATAACGTTAAAACAGTAATTTTGGAGCAAAGTTGTAACAATTTAATATTTGATTATAGGGAGTTGAAAGGAGGGCTTGGAGATAGGGTAAATAAATTGAAACGTTTGCGAATGGCTACTCGTGTTTTAGTTAAAGAGCTAAGTCGTGGATAAGGATTCCTTTATTGAAGAGACTGGGAGACACTAACTACGAAAAAGAAATAAAAAAAATACAATGTCAACATTGTCAACATTGTTTCCGATGTCCTGGGCAACACTATATAATAAGATTCCTAAACTATTTAAAATATGATGCTATTTACCTCTTATTTTATGCTCTTGATACTTAGACAGGTTTTTTTCCTAAACAATTTAAAGGGTGAATATCTTTTAAAAAGAAGTAACTTTAAACACTTTTCAGAAAGTTTTCGTTTAAAGCAAATAGAATTCAGGTTGGAACAACAGTAAAATTTTCTAGCTATTATAACAGCGCAAGTATCAAGAGGTAGCATGTATCAAATTTAATCAATGCTCAACTTGATGAATCGACTCCAGGTATAGTTCGATGGCTCTTAGGCACAACGATCAATGGCAGATTTCTATAAAAATGGATCTAGCCTAACTAAAAAAGGTAGAACAGACCAGTGTTCAATTTTCTAAAGGTGAAAAAGAAGGGTGCTTCCAGCTCAACAAAGGCAAATGGACAACAAAGTAATTTAAGCAAGCTTCTCTATGGTTATTTACTCGGTAGATAAATAAAATAGCATTAAACAATATTAAAATTGACTATAACAGTCAAACAATGAATTTTAGAACTTCCTACTTCTGGTTGAAAATCGAACTAACACAAAAAAAGAAAACAGGATGTCCAATAAATAAGTAAGACTGTCCTCCGGGATTGATCAAAGCGGAAAATCTCCAAGTCAGGAAACTCCTAAAAAGACAAAAGAAGAACATAAATCCAAAACGTTAACATACAATCTTAGAAAAGAAGAAAGGAAACGGTTATTGGCATACAAGCCATTATCAATACACAAACAGCTCAGTCTCAAACTAACATTTTTAACAACAAAAAAAAACACAAAAAAATCGTAACAGTCCTTAGAAGAAACAAAATAGTTATGACAGTCCTCCAAAGAAACGAAGAATCATTACAATGTTCCAAAGAAACAGAAACATGTATCACAGTCCGTTGTCACTAATAAAAAAAAAATCGTAAGTTTGGATGTAACACATACCAAAAATATAACAGTAGAAGTTGAACAGTAAAAGAGTTTAACTCCTAATCGAATCCAACTCAAAAATTGTTGTGCAAAAATTTCAAACTAAATGGCAAGAAAAAGAAAAAAAATATACAAAAGACGAAAACTAATGCTTATCTTCCTTAGAACCTCAACAGGTCACCTTACAGACGAATCCAAAACTTATTGCCCTAGCTGTTTCTCTCATGACAACTTATAAGGTGAAAGACACAGTTTGGAAAGGAAATAAGAAAGAAGCGTTAGGAAATAGACCTCATCATTTTACGCATGATAATTGAATCCAACATGGTCGTCTTACAAATCACAAAGAAATGTTCACCATTCTTCAGCCAAACAACCGCAAGTACTTTTACCTCCGCTTATACCATATCATGAACACAAGATCACAAACGAATGCTACCGGGACTGCCATGTGTCTTACATCAACACATAAAAAAGGCTTAACCCTTCTATTTGAATGCTGCTGGAACTGTACCAGGTGTCAGTACCATTAACATACATCTACTACATCTGACCGCACAAAGACACACAATTAACAGACAAAAGAAACATAACAATATTCTCGCTCTATGTTCTCAACAAATCGGCATTAGCCAAGAAGAAACGAAGTCGTACCAATATTTACTCCTACTTTCCATGGGAGAACATGGGCTATAAAATACAGTCAAACTTTTTCTTTTTCGGTGAATGTTATTTGTGTTTTGCTATCACCGGCGTGGTGTCAAATCTGATTATGAATGTGCTTGCGCCCTGCTACTCGTTTTTTGACTGGTTTTGTCAGGACTCATTTTAATCTTTCCAAATGACTAATTTCTGCATGGACACTGCTACGTTCCATTCACCACCTGATAGTAAGACTCACTTACCTTAGCGCGATAAAATCACAGATCGTCCACCTTACCTCAACGTCTGCTGTTAACTTAGCAATTAGCTGGTAAACAAAAGTCTATAACCTGTCTCTCAAAAGTTCACACCTCCACCACTAAGAGGGATTAAAAATGCTTCGAAACTACAGACTCAATAAACTGATAAATAAAAGTTCAATTAGGGGTATAAAGGGTAAGTTCAGTTCAGTTTAGTACAGTTCTTGTTTTAACTACTTAATGAGAATGCCATTGGAAAACTAAACAAAACCTCCTGATTATGAGTATTACGCTTGTGGTCATCTAAGGAATCTGTCTTACGTTGGTTGGAATACTTGTAAGCAAAAGAAATAAAAAAAAGTTGCCACTTTGGGCACCAATTGTAACATTAAAAACAGACCATTAACCATCCTCTTGGTACTTAAAAGAAATAATTTTAAATTCCGGGTGAAAAGAGAAAACTTATTTTTATTTCACATAAACTAATTTTTTTATAAATATTCAAATTTATGAACAAACCTTACATTGAGTTTAACCTTCTGACACAACAGAATTTAAACTATGTTTATCAACAATAGTTACATTAAACCTTTTAACAAAACAGACTATAAAATTTTAATTATATACCAAATGGCAGAAAAGGATATACTGACTGTCATATGTCGAAATGAATATCAAATCTTTCTTAATTATTAATTAATTATCAAAGTTAACTTTATTTAAAACAAAACTAAAATATGATAATTAGCTGATTCATAAAACCTATATCTATTTATAAACTTTTTAATTTGACATGAAAGCAAATCATACTAGGTATTTTAACAAAAAACATATATTTAGAAAAGTTTAACAAAAATACCTTCTTCACTTGCTAATTATTTCCTTTTAAATTGTTAAAAAAGTTTTTGTTACCTTGGAATTGGATACAAAAAACACTATCCCTTACAAACTTCAACGATCTGGATTCGACCCATGAAAGACACAAAATGGAAGCTGGACAAATCTTGGGAGAGGTCAAGCATCGAACTGGGCTTCAGGTTTTCCTGGACGATAAGAATATACATTCTTCAAAACTCGCCTTATCGAGCAATTATAGGCTTATCGATTTAAAATCATGTGAGCCTCACTCAGCCATCAGAAACGCTGTTATCAGATCCGTTGAGACGGATTACAGCATCCAACAAACCAGTGATTAACTAACTCACTGTACAAAGACTGCCAAATGAAATTTTAA